TCATGTATGATATTCTTGATGTCATCCCACAACTCTTCTGGTCTTTGGTCTTTAGTGTTTAATTCATCAAATCTGTTCTTCAGATGATCTCTGAACATTATTGTATACAGCATTAAAACATCCAAACAAAAATAGATATCATCGTTTGGAAGGTAGTTATTCATGTATATCAAATGAGGAATATGGACCAATAAATAACATTCTTATCAATGGAGAAAAGATTGAAGTTGTCAAGGACTTCATTCTTCTTGGATCAACTATCAATACTCAGGGAAGCAGTAGTCAAGAGATCAAACTATGTATTGCCTTGGGCAAATCCGCTGCACAAGCCCTTTTTAAAGTGTTGAAGAGCAAAGACATCTGCTTGAGGACTAAGGTGTGCCTGACCCAAGCCACAGTATTTTCAAAAACCTCATATGCATGTGAAAGCTGGACAGTGAATAAGGAAGACTGTAGAAGAATTGATGCCTTTGAGTTATGGTGTTGGAGGAGAGTATTGAAAGTGCCATGGGCTGCCAAAAGAATGCAGATCTATTTGTTCTTTTGGCAGCCCATGGCACTTTCAATACTCTCCTCCAACACCATAACTCAAATGCATCAATTCGTCTATGGTCTTCCTTATTCACAGTCCAACTTTCACGTGCATCTGAGGTTATTGAAAATACCATGGCTTGTGGTAATAGTGCTTTGAATATTGTCAGGAGTTCAGAAAATAGGTGTTGAGTAAATGAGTGAGAATCTGATCATTTTCAACTTAGTCCTCACTCTCTGTTCAGCTACTGGGTGCTCACTCTCATCCTAGTGTACCCTAGAGGTTTTGTGGCACACAATTAGAAAGTAAATATAGAAGGCCTTACCCCATTGGTAGACGTTAGGGGAAGACTCGTTAGAAGAAATACTTAAATTCACATAAATTTATATACTTTATATAAAGATATATGGTGGTACAGTGTGTTCAGCACTTAGCTACTAATTGAAAGGTCAGTAGTTCAAGCCTGCCAGGGAGAAAGATATGGTTGGTGGACTGCTTCTATAGATTGTTGTTGTTGTTAAGTGCTGTCAAGTCAATTTCTGTTCATAGTGACCCTATATAGGGTTTCCAAGGAGCAGCTGGTGGGTTTGAACCACTGACCTTGTGGCACACACCAAGACTCTTGTAAAGATTGTTGTTGTTGTTGTTATGTGCAACCTTGGAAATCCTAAGGGGTAGTTCTACTTTGCTCTATAGAGTTGCTGGTGGTGGTGGTTACGTGCTGTGGAGTCAGTTCTGACTCACAGTGACCCTCTACTGCATTTCCAAGACTGTAAATCTTTACAGGAGCAGAAAGCCTCATCTTTCTCCAGTGGAACACCTGGTAGTTTTGAACTGCTGACCTTGAGGTTAGTAGCCCAACTCATAACTACACTACCAGAGCTCCTTATAGAGTTGCTAGAAGTAGGAATCAACTCAATGGCAGTAGGATATATAATATTTAGTGAAGAATACAAAAAATAGTAAAGGGGAAGAGAGGGAATAAAAATTGCTCTAGATGTGGCTAGAGGAGAGAATCCTTGGAGGAAGGATAGAATATCTGAAAGGCTTACTTAGAATGTGGTTGGTGATGCTGGAGACTTGGTGGGGGGAAAGAGAAGACAGGATTAAACAATCTGGTTGGGAGTTATGAAACGGATTTTATTTGATGCTCTGTGAGGGACACGAAAAATGAATATGGTACCTAGTACAAAAAGTGATCCTTAAAATCATCTTCGTTTCTATAAATTTCAGAATCATGCTTTTTCTGCATGTAAGTAATTCCCATTGCTCAACAGCCTGGTCTGCTTGAAAACAGACAGGTTTTCTGTACACAACGACATGCTGACAGTTACAACTTAAAGACTTCTTTGTGTTGCTTTTTAAAAAGTGAGCCATCTGGTTCGGAATCATCAATTTAGTGCCCTGACTTGGATTCTAACCTCTAACTTTTGGGTCCTCCTGGTCTAGAGATTCCTTTTTGAAGAATCTTGAGCTGGTTCCTCAAACGCAGAGGAGATGGAAAATTCTGACAAAGTCTGGTCTGTTTCTGGTGTGCCACTTTATGTTCTTTCCTGCAACTCTCCCATGAAAAGGCAGACTCTAAAAAGTTACTAATGCTCATGATGGATTTTCCACTCTTGCTCCATGAGCTCTCCTTCCCATTGAATTATACTATGGAGACTTCTCAGGTGGGTTGCAAGGGCAAGTAATGACTTACATTCCCAGCGATCCTTACTGTTGTTGTTAGAGGCTGTCAAGTCAATTTCACCTCATAGTGATCCTAAAGACGGCTATGAGGAAAGAACTGTGTGGCTCATTCTACTGTCTGCATTTGATGATTATGATGCATTGAAAACATGGCTTAAGTTTAGAGTGTTTTGTGGAGAATTTTATCTGTTTTCCTGACATGTCCTGGTCTTTATTTCTTCCCTGGCCTCTTCCTTTTTATCTTCCTTGAAGGACCGCCACGCATGGGGGAATTGTGACCAGATAGGATGGTGGTGGTGGTGGTGGTGGTTATGTGCCCTGGAGTCAGTTCCAATTCATAGAGATCCTGCATAGGGTTTCCAAGGTTGTGAATCTTTACTGGAGTCGAAAGCGTCATCTTTCTTCCACGGAACATCTGGTAGTCTCGAAATGCTGATCTTGAGGTTAGCAGGCCGACTGGTAACCACTATGCTACCAGAGCTCCGTGACCAGATAGGATAGCAAACAAATGCAGCCTCTGTGGGCACTAACAATGGTTGGCTCAAGAGAAGTAAATGGATCAGCAAAGTGCATGTGCCTCTAATGGTCAATTGCTAGTTTACACTGTTTAAAACATAAAATAAATTCTTATTTATTATCAACTGTCACTACTGTGTTGTTGTTGTTAGGTGCCATCGAGTCGGTACCGACCCATCAACTATCACCATTAGCCAATCTCAAAAAATGGTCTAGTGATACACTCTAAGATAGTGCATATCTTAGACTTAAAACAAAACAAAACAAAAAAAACTCACGGGATTAAACAACACACATTCTCTTTGTGGAAGAAACTTGAACTGGGGTTTTCAGTTTATGAAGTAGTTCTGTGAATTTAGTGAATCTGACAGTGAACCAACATGATAGGATCTGGTTGTTTCCCTTGGGTAGTTTAGCATCCTTAAAGCTGAACCAATAAGTATTCACCAACTGATTAGCTGGTACACCCCCACCGGCGTCCTTTACATAGCCATGCCAGCTGCCCTTTCTGTAGCCCTTTTTGTAATTTACAAGTGTTCTGGTTGCATCTGCCAGTATGACAGTAATACGTTGAGGATGCAATCTTATTTCTAAATCAAGGTTCTGGACGCTCTCTCTTTTTGAAAGTTTTTATTGTCAATTGAGTGATCGTTTACATGGGAGAACACTCATAATTCACTGCAATGATTACAATCTCCTCCATGTATCATCATTCAACAGTACTTACTTGTATTCCCCCTCCCTTTTTTTTAGTGGGGTACACAAAAACAGTCACGAATATATAATCATTTAAACAACCAAAGAGCACATTCTGCAAGCCTTCTTCTTGGCCACCATCACCTGGTCGCCAGCACACAGCCCTTCTCTTTCCATGAGCTGGACTCTTCTTTTAAAGTCAGGAAAGTCTGAGAATCAATTTTGTAGCTGTAGTAGCCACTGAATAACGGGGATGAATAAATGGGGCAAGTCCTTTTACCATCCTACGTGGTGATACTATCTGGTGTACAAATCAGATCCCTATACAATAAGTAGGTGGAACACAGGTCAACAGTGGAAGGTAGGTAGAAGATAGATAAATGTTCACTTATTTAAGATCGCCGCTTCTCGCTTGCCCTGTCACATATACAGAACGTGAACGTGTAGGGCTTGGGCGTTTTAGCCGTGTAAAACATCAAAATGACACAGACGGATGAACGTGGGCATTGCGCCTTATTAGTAGCGGTGGGACCAGGACACAGGGAACGGCTACCTGCTGCGTATTGTGAGGTCAGGGGAGGGAAGGTGAGCGTCCGGGGGTGCTGCTCCAGAGCCCGAGATGGGGTGTACGTGCGGGGACCCCGTATGGAATTTTGGCCTCCTTCTTGCTACGCACAGATCTCCGACCCCGGGAAGCAGGATACTAGAGGCGAGGAGCAGCGACAAGCCGGAGACTGTGGGAGGAGGAAGAGGAGGCGAGGAGAAGTGCCCGCGCGAGGAGCGGAAGAAGAGGAGGTGGCGAGAGGGAGGACAGCCCAAAGGAGGGAAAGAAAAGGCGGCGGAGGATAGCGGGCCCGCCCCTCCCGGATTCCTCCTCCGCTCCCAAATTCGGGCCGGCCCTCCCCGGCCACCGCCTCTCTTTCCCCGGCTGCTCAGAAAACGCGGCGGCGCCGAGTCCCGCTGCGCCCGCGCCCTCCCCGCACAGCGCCGCGCCCGCTACACACGCTCGCGCGCGCCCCCAACCCCCCGCGCGCGGCCAGATTCCGCGCGCGCCCCACCCGCGCGGCCACACTCGGGGCATGCGCGGTGGGCGGCGCCGCTTCGGGCCGCCTCTGCCGCGGCGAGTAGGAAGCGCGAGCGCCGGGTGCCGGGCTGTCAGTGAGCGTGGGGCCAGCGAACAGAGTGAGAAGCTCTAGCTCCGGCTCCAGCTCCGCTCCGCGCCGCTCCAGCCCGACTCTCCCCGGCCGCCGCCCGCTGCCGCGCCCTCGGCCGCCGGCTAGCGCCCCCTACCCGGGGTCGCCGCGGCCCCGAGCCCCTCCCCCTCCCCCGGCCTCCCCGCTGCTGCTCCCCGGCGGAGGCAAGAGGTGGTTGGGGGGACCATGGCTGACGTTTTCCCGTCCAACGACTCCACGGCGTCTGAGGACGTGGCCAACCGCTTCGCCCGCAAAGGGGCGCTGAGGCAGAAGAACGTGCACGAGGTGAAAGACCACAAATTCATCGCCCGTTTCTTCAAGCAGCCCACCTTCTGCAGTCACTGCACAGACTTCATCTGGTAGGTGCGCGCGGCCCGAGGCTCTCCCGGGGACCGTCCGGGCGCGTCCACTCCACGGCCCTCTCACTCGGGGAACTTGGAGAGCCGGCGGGACTCCCAACTCTCCCGAAGTGACACTCGCGCGCCTGGCCGTCCCGGCCCCTGACACACGCGGGCAGGACTCCCGGGGAAGTTGCCGCCCCACCACACGCCCCCTGCCGCCGGAGGGAGGGCTGGCCCTGCACCGCAGTGACATCGATCCCTTACTCGGGGCCAGTGACCTCCCACTGCTCCCCCGACCTCGGGCCGTGGGGTGCGACCAGAAGGGAAAAAAAAAAAAAAAAAAAGAGAGAGAGAGAGAGAATCCCGAAGGCCAAAGTGTCCCGGAGAAGCATGCCCCAGTCCCCGAGAGCGGCGGCGGCGATTGCTGCGCTCGATCCAAGTTGTAGGCGAGCCTGGCTGGGCGCGTTCGGGGTGTGTGTGTGTTTCTCCTCGGGCTGGGACTCTACTGGAATCTTGGGTTTCTGCCTACTGTAGCTTGTATCTCCTGGGCACGGAGACACTTTGACTTTTGTAGGTGAGCCCAGAAAGAAAGTCGAGAAGCAACTAACTGTAGAAAGATTGCAGTGGGGGAGGGGGGAGTTAAAACCGTGCAGGCAAATGGCAGAAGGGCAGAGGGAGTCATTTAAAATAGACCCTGTCAACAGGAGATTAGAACTGTAACCCTGTGGATGAGGACAGAGGCTTTATTTAAGCAAAATACTGTAACCAGCAAAGGTGTCATTTCCAATGAATGCAGATGAACTCGAAAGCCCTGGAGCTTTGAGAGGAATCCACAAATGGGTTTAGGGGTCTTTGAACTCTGTAGAACCAGGTGAAACTGTATGTGCAGTTCTTTTTACTCCTGAGAGAGTTACATACAGCTTTATCGGATTCTCTAAGGGTCCATGATCCCCTAAGAGCCCAGAAACCCGGAACTAAAGGAATTTCAGGCCCTCCAAACTGGAGATTAGTAGTTTTGTTTTTCTCTTGGTTTGGTGGCACAGTGGTTCAAGAGGTCCCTTACTAACGGAAAGGTCAGTGGTTTAAACACACCAGCTGCTCAGTTAGCTACCGTAAACGTTACAGTCTTGAAAACCCTACGGGGCAGCGCTGCACGGATCTAGAAGAGTTAGTTGCCCAACATTGCTGCTTCTACTTCTAGGCTAGTGGGCTAGGCTTGGGTTCCTTAGCTCCCTCCTCTGGTAGGCTAGGAAGCTGCACTGGGTAACAGTCCCAACCACCAACCCGATGTGTGGGATATACCCCGGGGGGCTTCAAACGCTTGGAGAAAAATTACGTTATATTTGAATCCCACTTTTCCGGGAACTTTTTGAAGCCCGCTCAGTTATGTATCTTGATGAGGCGCTAGGGAGAAGTTATGAATGGCCCTGTCTGAATACATCACTTTTGGGGGAAAAAAAACATCTTAAAGGGTGTGTCCCAGAAACATCGGGTGCTTAATTTTCCCTTTCCCTTTTAGAAATAAGCTCAAAAGTCCACTTTTATGAAAAGCGCAGTCACCTCTGAATGTTTGTTTTCCACCGGTGTAGTCAGGAGTCCTGCTGTGGCACTGTGGTTTAATGCGCTGGACTGCAAGATTGGTTTCAACTGCAAGGTTGGCGGTTCAAGCGTTCTAGCTGCTCTTTGGAAACCTTATACAGGGTCGCTGTGGGTTAGAACTGACTCGATGGCACTCAGCAACCATAACAGACAGTGTATGAAGTTATTGTGCTCAAAGGAGTAGGTAATTGTAGATAAGGCTATTTAAAATTAAATCTTTGGAGCATCAGGGCAAAGAGAGGCTATTGCATTTAGTTGAGGTGAGGGCTTCTGCCTTCCTTGCCAACCATGATATTTCATTAAAAGGGAACATGTTGTTAGTTCAGACTGTTGACAGCCTTTACAGGAAGTAGGTAAGTCAGAAAAGGGACTTGGACTTACTCAGGTCAGCTAGTGTCTTTCCACTATCGATTGCCCAGAGGGATCAGCCCATGGCGAAGTGCTATGGCAGGCTAGGTCACCAGGTATGTTGTGAAGTGGAAAATTGCAGTCTCTTCTTCTCCATTCCCCCTGAAAAATCTCTCCAACATGTCTCCACTTTATTGTAAAGCAGCCACTTGGAAGCACCAGGAAAACATATGCTGGAATGGTCTGTTGTTGTTAAGTGCCATTGAATCGGTTCTGACTCTTACGGACCCTGCACAGGGTTTCTAAGGAGTGGCTAGTGGGTTTGAATTGCTGACTCTGCTGTTAGCAGTCCAGTGCTTATCCTACAGTGCCACACTAGGACCCCTGGAATTGCCTGGCAGTGTACTTTAGTTTCTGTTTTTTGTTTTTTTAAAAATCTTATCATCACTTCTATAGGTCCTTGAATTACAAGTTTTATTTAAATCTTTAAAGTACTGACATTGTAAAGCTAAATGTTTGAGTTTAGTTAATTTTTTTGGGGGTGGGGAATGTCTCAAGTTAATTATAAAGGCATAGGAGTGCTTTGTAACTTTAAAAAGCTATGTGAAGCAAGAAGTTATGACGAGTAATTTTTCAGGGTATATTTTAATGTGGTCCATTCTTAGGGACCAGTGTTGGCATTTCAGTGTGCATGTCTGAGTTCGCCTCTGAGAGCGTACATTCGCTAAAGTAATTTACGAGAACAAAATAGTCTCTGTTTGCTTTGAATGCTATTGGTTCTCAGTAAAAATCAGATGGTGCTCATCTTCAATGCAAACAGTACGAATGGTATTTTGTTTGTAAAATGTGACACCTTAAGCAAAAATTCAATGTTAAGCATGTTGCTGTCTGGCAGTTTCCCCACACATAACATCTTAAACCACCTCATAACACGTAATGAAGTCTCTTTTAAATTGTCATTAGGGAATAAAAAGATTTTTAGTTAGTTTTTAAGAACAAAAGCCCATGAACTCCTTTTTGTGAATCATGTAGTCAACTTTGAATAGACAGCCATGTTCTTGTGTAGAAATGTTAGTATTGCTTATAGAGTGTAAAGAATTGACGAGAAACTTGTTAAGTTGAAGAATTTCCATGATCCTTTGCAGCCAAGATAGGTTTTTTGTCAAAGTTAAATTTATATAGTTATATGATTGGATGCATATTTATGCATATTTTCATACCAAATCATTTGGTTTCATGTACAGATTTTTAACTCAGTAGATTAATTTGTCACATAAGGTGCTTAAAATATGGTGTCCAACACGAAGTATGTTAAGATGTTTTCTTCTTATTTCTGTTTTTCAGGGGGTTTGGGAAACAAGGCTTCCAGTGCCAAGGTAAGCGGCCATGTTTGATTTTGTTTTTCGTTAGAACATGACATAAACTTGCCAACCAGGAACAGCCTTTTATATCATCTTTTCTTTATAATCTGAAAAATAATGGTCTTTAGATAATAGTTTGGATCTTAAAAAAAGTTACATGGTCTTGCCTAGTCATCTACATATGTTGTTTTTGGTATTGTTAAGTGCTGTTGAGTCAATTCCCATCCATAGCGACCCTGTGCATAGGGTTTCTAAGGAGCAGCTGGTGAGCTTGAACTGCTGACCTTGTGGTTCAAACTGACTTTGCAGTCCAGTGCATAACCCACAGTGCCACACCAGGACTCCAATCCACATATAGAGCTATCTTTTTGTCACTGGGGGGAAAAAAAATTCCTGTAATTTTTATTTTTTGCAGAGACTATTCTTGCCAGAAACTGCTGTCTTTGTGTGGGTGTTAAGAAAACAACAGAATCACTTTGTATTCATGTGGCTTTTCCTTTTTGCTTTTCATCTGGTTTACCTATGTACAGGGCTGGACTCATTGCCACTCATTTTTGACTGTACGTTTGTGTTTTTGTAGATTACCGATTGTCATCTATAACAAATTTGCATGGTTTAATGTTTCAGAGATACTCTGGTACTGCCTGATTCTTGAAATATTACTACTAAGTGGCAGACTTTTCCATATCTGATGCTCTCCAGTTCTCTATTGCTAAAAGAAAGACCCTCTCTGATTTGTAGGTGCATCAAGTATTTAACTTTTCATACTTCTATTTGTTTAATTTCTTAATGCTTTTTAGCTTGTGAAGGCATCCCAGGTTCATCAGCTCACCTGCTGGCTCCTACTGTTCACCATTTATTTTGTGTTTATTTAGTTCTGGTTACATATCCCATCTGGGGCTTGACTTATTATTAGGGTAAGTAGAAAGTACATTCTAGCCTGGAAAATATTGTCCTGACACTGTATAAGGAGAGAAAGAGAAAGAAAGCGCACTGTTATACGTTTGTCTTATATGCAGGTTCTAAATATATTTTAAAGAGGGCATTTTGTGGTATGATAATTCATTAATACTCTGCCCTTCTTATAGCAAGATGTCTTATAGAGTGCTAGAATAAATTATATGTATTTAGAAGTGTCAAGGGATATTTGTATAAAAAGTAGAGTAATAGGGGAAAAACATGTTTTACTAATCTATCTATAAAAGGTAGATGTAACTTTCTATCAGTTCTCAAAATCGTGCACCTGAACTTTATAGACGAGACTTGGGTCTAGACTAGAGTTTAGGAAGTTTACAGATGCAAAGGTACTTTGTGATTCTGGGATAATGGGATTCACATCTTCCGTTATTTTGGGGAATAGTATTTCTTTGTGTGGCAACCTACGAAAACTTACTAGAAAAACTATTTTCTCGATCTGCTCAAATTGCAATACTTTCCAAGAGAAAAAGGGTATGTAACTTTAAAAACAACCATTTTCTGCATAAAAAGAATTCAGAGTAAGCTTGGACCTACTTGCCTTTTCTTGATAAAACCATAGTCTGCATTATTAAGCTCCAAGATGGGCCTACATTGCTCTCCCTAGAGAACATCTAAGGAGCTCTCGTGGTGTAGTTGTTACAGGTTGGGCTGCTCATCTCAAGGTCAGCAGTTTGAAACTACTAGTGGTTCCACGGGAAAAAGATGAGGCTTTCTGCTCCCGTAAAGATTTACAGCCTCGGAACTGACTCCACGGCACACAGCCACCACCCACCACCAGAGAGCATCTGTTGAACTGTTAGTGGATTGTTGTATACTGTTGAATTGGTTCTGACTTGTTGCTATTGTTAGTAAGTGCCATTGAGTTGGTTCTGACTCATAGCAACCTTCCAAGGAGCTGTTGGTGAGTTTGAACTGCTGACCTTGATAAACTGACCTTTTGATCCAGTTCTTTATCCCACAACCTCCTTCTGACTCATATTGTTGTTAAGTGCCATCGAGTCTCTTCTGATTTATAGCGACCTTATATAGTGTCTCCAAGGAGCAGCTGGTGGGTTTGAACTGCCGACCTTGTGGTTCGCAGTCCAATGCTGAGCCTGTAGTGTCACACCAGGAGTCCTTCTGACTCATAGAGATCCTTAAAGAGTTTTTGAGAACTGCTGGCCGGTTTGAACTTCTGACCTTACAGTTACCAAATCAGTTCTTATCCGACAGCGGCACAGCACAACTGTTGTGGTTAAGCGCTGGCAAGTTGGTTGCCACAGAGCTACCCTGTTAGGGTTTCCAAGGAGTGACTGGTGGGTTTGAATCACTGACCCTGTGGTTAGCAGTCTAGTGCTTGTTGTTGGTGTTAACTGCTGTCGAGTTGGTTCCGACCCATACTAACCCTGTACAGGGTTTCCGAGGAGCAGCTGGTGAGCTTGAACCGCCGACCTTGCAGTTCAAATGGCTTTGCAGTCTGGCATGCATTAACCCACAGCGCCACACCAGGACTCCTAGTGCTTAGTGAACTGATAATCTCTTAAACATCATATAAAATTAAAACTGAAATTGTGTACCCTTCTCTTTCCCTTCCCCAGGACCAACTGCTATGTAACGCATACATTGATTTACTTCTTCACATACAGTTAGGTTGTAAACTTGCTTAACTAAGAGTTTAAAAAAATTTTTTTTTCTCCCACTCAGCAGTATATTGTATCTCCTTCATGTGAAAACATCCATTGGACTGTTGGTCTTCTTAATGTGTAATATGTGGATAGGTCTTGGTGTGGCGCTGTAGGTTAATGCACTGGACTGCAAAACCACTTTGAATTATAACGTTGGTGGTTCAAGCTGCTCCTAGGAAACGCTATACAGGGTCGCTTTGAGTTGGAACCGACTTGACAGCACTTCACCACCACAACAATGTGGATATGTCAGATTTAGCCATTCGTTTGTTGATAGATATTTGAATTGTTACTAAGTTCTTAGTAGCACAGATACAGCTGCAGAGAACATCTGTGAGCAGGAGAGTCAGTATTTCCACAGCGGTGATGTTGTTATTATGTGCCACTGAGTCGATGCTCACTCACAGTGCCCCTGTACAAGGTTTCCGAGGAGCAGCTGGTGGTTTTGACCTTGTGGTTCAAAGTCCAGTGCTGACCCTACAGTGCCACCAGTAGAAGTGTGCTCACACGTGCGTGTGTGTACGTGTGTGTATTAGAGTAGTGATTACAAATCGGGCTGTGAACTGCAAGGTGAGCAGTTCGAAACTACCAGCTGTTCCACAGGAGAAAGGTGAGGCGTTCTGCTCCCATAAAGATTTACAGCCTCGGAAACCCTGTGCAGGGTTGCTATGATTCAGAATCGACTTTACCGCATATAATCACCACCACTACTACCCCTAAGTTTGTCTGCCAAAACATGCCAGGTTACCTTTTCAGTATTTATAATTTGTGAATTCTCTCATTTTCCTCATTTTTACCAAGTTCTAGTATGGCACTGTGGGTTAATGCACTGGACTGCAAGATTGGTTTGAACCACAAGCTCAGTGGTTCAAACCCACCAGCTGCTTCTCAGAAACCCTATGTAGGGTCTTTCACCAAACCTATGTGAGTTTGAACCGACTCGATGACACTTACCAACAACAGCCACCAATGCAAGAGGGCTTCAAAATGTTCATTGGACAGATTCCATTATCTTTTAATTCTATTTTCCATGAACTTTCTGAAGCCTCACCGTACAAATCTTTTGCTACCAGTCTTGGATAATCTTTTACATTGATGCCAATCTGATAGGTGAATGTGGTTCCATCTCCTGAGTGGTTGGTGAAGTTGAGAATTCTTTCAAATGTGTTTGTCATTTGTACTTTTTCTGTGAATCATCTCACTTTGTCTTAATATTCAAGATTTAAGATCTGTAAAATAGACAAATCAGAGTTGGTCTCCATACATTGTTTCGTTGTACAGAGGGTTGCTGTGAATTGGAACCAATGAGCAGCACCTAAGAACAAAGACAACATGTGCTTTATAGGACACCTTTATGTTGTTGTTGGTAAGTGTTGTCGAGTCAGTTCTGACTTATAGCCATCCTATATAGGGTTTCCAAGGAGCAGCTAGTGAGTTTAAACGGCTGACCATTTTAGTACTTCAATACTTATTCTACAGGGCCACATCAGGACTCCAGGAGACCTTTATAGTGGGCCTTTATAGGATATGTGGTGGCGCTATGGGGTAGACATTGGACTGCTAACTGTAAGGTCGGCAGTTCAAACCCACCAACTGCTCTGTGGAAGAAAGGTGAAGCTGTCTGCGCCTGTAAAGATTTACAGTCACAGAAACCCTAGATATAAGTCAAAACTGGCTCAATGGCAGTGGTGTGGTTTAAGTATGTACTTTATACACTGTTCCTTGGTTTGGTGAAGGATTTTTGTCTATGATCTCTTTAAATAATGCATTCCGCTAGTTTGTTTTGTTGTTGTTAAGTGCTGTGGAGTCAATTCCGACTCATAGCGACCCGGTATAGGTGTCCAAGGCTTTAAATCTTCCTGGGAGCAGAAAGCCTCATCTTTCTCCTGCGGGGCAGTTGGTGGCTTCAAACCGTAGACCTTGTGGTTTGTAGCTCAGTGCTTATCGTATGTTGTTGTTAAGTGTTGCATAGTTGGTTCCAACTCTTAGCGACCCTGTATAGGGTTTCCGAGGAGCAGCTGGTGAGCTTGAACTGTTGACCTTGCTGTGTACATTGAGGTTGTGGTCCAGCGCATTATCCACAGCGCCACACCAGGATTTGGAGCCACCTACATTTTAATTCACAGAAGTATTTAAAACATAATTCTATATTTAACAGATGGGCTCTGTTTAAGATGTGTAATCTGCATTTTATGTTGAATCAAACCCAGACCTCACTGCTGTTAAGTTCCTTCTGATATGTCGTGACCCTCCAGGTCAAAGCAGCTCTGGTGCATGGCGTTTCTGAGACTAATCTTTATGGATGCTGACTGCCACCTCTTGGCTTCATGAGCAGCTGGTGGGTTTGAATCATCAAATACTTGGCTGACCGCT